CCCTTCCTTGTAGCACAATCTATAAGCCATTTTATCATTCCAATTTTTTTCTACTCCCACTCCCATTAGTTGGCTTTTTCTGAAATTTATCTTTAGCCCTGAAGCCAGCTCAAAAGTCCTCATCATGCATTTGATCACCTATATATTGTCCTCTATTGCCTCCCCGAAAAAGATGGTGTCATCCACGAATTGTAGGTGTGTGACCATAAAGCCTCCGCTACCAATTGTCACTCCTTTATACCACCCCTTCTCCACTGCCGATGACACTAGTCCATTCAACCCCTCCGCAACAATTAAGAATAAAAAAGGGGATAACGGATCTCCTTGTTGGATGCCTTTGTTAATCGGGAATTGTTTCGTCGAGCTGCCATTAATGAGAATGGAGACCGAGCTCGATTTTAGACACTCCTATATCCATTTCCTCCAAGTTGCATTAAACCCCATCCTCAGCATCATGTACTCAATGAACTCCCAGCATACCTTATCATAAACTTTCTCAAAGTCGACTTTAAATAGAAAGCTCTTCATCTTCTTCCTTTTGACTTCATCGATAACCTCATTTGCAATCACTACTCCCTCTGCTAGTTGTCTTCCCTCAAGGAAAGCCATCTGCTGTTCTCCGATCACCTTGGGTAACAGCTTTCGCAATCGGTTTGCTAGTAATTTTGCAATGATTTTGTACATAATTCCAATGAGCGAGATGGGTCTATATTCCTCAATTCCTTGGGGATTTTCTGTCTTCGGGATTAGCACAATGAAAGAAGCGTTTGACCCTCTGACCAGCCTGCCATGTTCTTGGAATTCCTGTACAAAGTTGACCACATCAGATTTTATGACCTCCCACATCGTCTTTATAAATCTGAAATTGAATCCATCCAGCCCTGGAGATTTGGATGAGTCATAATTCCATATTGCTTCTTTAATTTCCTGTTTCGAGAAAGCCGCTGTGAGGATCTCATTATCAGTCTGTGATATTTGCTTAAAGCTTATCCCATCCCATCTAGCTTTGGTCTTCTCCAAGATTCTTCTGCAAACAAATCTTGGAAGTACTTAGCAGTCTCTTGCTTTATTGTCTCCACTCCTGTAAGTTGCTCCCCTATTAACTTCATTTCTTCTCCATCTTCCTTTCACACATCTATGGAAAAATTTTGTGTTGGCGTCGCCTTCTTTTAACCATAGCTTCCTTGATTTTTGTTGCCACATCCTTTCCTTGATTCTTAGATTTTTCCACAAATCAATAAAACAATTTCTTCTCATTTCAATATCACTGTCCGACAGTTGGTTCTGCTCTCCTTTCTCATCAATTCTAGCAATTGCATCTTCAGCTTCCTTTATTTGGATATCCACCTGTATATTCATATTACTGCTCCACTCCTTTAAAGCAAGTTTTGTTTGTTTTAGCTTCTCCTTGAGCTTAAATCCACTCCACCCTTTCACTTCATTACTATTCCACACATTCGTGATCATCTCCTTGCATCCTGGATGTTCCAGCCAAGCATCATAAAATTTGAATGGTTTTGGACCTCAATCAACCAACTCATTTTTCAACAAAATTGGGCAGTGATCCGATACGGACCTCTTCAGTCCCCATTGTTTCACATTGCTCCATTTTGCCATCCATTCCTCTAATAATAAAAATCTATCAATCCTACTCATGTATTGACCATTTGAGTTATACCAAGTGTATTTCCTCCCCACTAGAGGCAAGTCAATCAATTCAGAATTATGAATAAAAGCATCAAATCCCCTCATTTCAGTAGATGTCATCTTACACCTTGCTCGTTCATTAGCTCTTCTCACAACATTAAAATCCCCTGTTAAGCACCACTTCCCCCTCCTGCTATCAATTAATCTCTGCAACTCCTCCCACAAGGCTCTTTTGTTTGTGATTTGGCACAGGGAGTATATATTTACTATGTATACAGGTGTCTCCTCCCTTCCCCACAATCCATACACCCCAATAAAATTCTCACCCTCTATAGTCTCCTTCCTCTTTAGTACTCTTGGATCCCAAACATAGAGCAATCCACCTGATTTCCCAATAGAAGCCTTTGCAACCCAGTCCAAATCCTCTGTCCCCCACAAGCTTCTACAAGTTTTTCTATCTTCCTATTATCTTCATCCTCTCGAGTCACCATAATTGTTGTTGCTCGTCTGTCTCTATCCTCCATCTCCTCAATTCTCTGAATCACCTCATTGTCGTCTTCTGCTACTGCTCCGAGCTGCGTCGCCAAATCCCAAATCTCCTTCGCCAACTAAGCATACCGTTGTTTTTTAAGAATTTTGTTGTAATTCTGTATGTCGCTATCTCCTATTGAGTCCATAGCTATTTTTCCATTCAAGTTCGGCATGAAAGTTGGTGTTGGCTTTCCCTCCCTCTGTTGCGTACTCTGCTTCCTTCTTTCTTTTCTACTTTTCTCCACTACGTCCCCAGCATCTAATTCTTGGTACACTGAGCTACACCATCTAACCCTCCTTCTTCCCCTTTTTGATTTAATTTCCCCTATCTGGTTGCCGATCCATTCATCTATGCGTCCCCTTTCAGCTTCATAGCCCTTCCAGAACATGTCTTCATCTTCTTCTTCATTACGTCTTTCTACTCTTTCTCCATGTCTGAAATTGCCCCTTATTTTGTTTGTATTCAATTTCTCCATTGAGCTTTTTGTTTGGGTCCAACCCGGTTTTGTTGACTCTTCACCCATTGGGCTTTCCTTTTACAAATTGGACTCTTTCACCGGTTGCTTATTGGGCTTCCTTTTGTGATCCACTTCCCTTGTGACATCTTCAATACTCTCTGAAACCGAGCCCTACACCTCCTGCCTCTTTGATTCCACGCCTGTCCTTGTACTGTCATCAACTAAATTCAAAATTTGAATTTTGTCCCTAGTAACTCCTCCTGTTTCTACTTGCTCTCCTCCTTCCCCACTGACATCTACTGACTGTCTTTTTTCTTTCTCTTTCATGCGAACAGATACGTCATCATCTTCTACCCTTGGATCCCCAGTTTGAACATCCTCCTTCATCCATCCATTTTCTAAAGCCTGTATCTCCGAATCACTTCCAGTAGACCATGTTTCATGGTCCTCTAATTCACTATGAAATGATGGCATAAAATATTCCTTCAGAGAAAAAAAACTGTTAGTAAATTCTTCCTCTGAAAACTTCACTTGGTAAATATCTCCATTAATTTTAATTTGCCTTGTGACTATGATTGTCTCCATGATTGGAGTCGAGATAAGAAATCTTGCAATGTCAAACCTTTTCTTTTTGCTTGTGCTATCATCCAAGCAAATAAACTTTCCCCTTAAACAGCTCATGGTTGAAAAGAAATCAGTTCCCCAAGCATTCAATGGTACCCCTTGACACCTTATCCATACAAATCTCTCATTTGCAATCATTTTTGGTGTCCATGGTTGCACCTCCGCAAACCATTGCCTCAGCCAATCTGATGCCATTTCAACCAAGTCCTTCAATTCCTCTTTATCTTCACCTAATAACAGAACCATTTTGCCTCCCATTGCCTGAATTTGACAAGAAAAATACCCTTCCATGTAAAATTTTTCTTGTAAATTATGAACCATCTCCACAGAGTGCACTATTCCGATGTAACAGCCATCAAGCCATTCATACTCCTCAGGTTTGACATTATACTCCGTGCCTGCCCAATTTTTCCCCATTCCTCTTTCTTTCCATACTCCCCTGGTTGCCGGTTGCCAATTGCTAGCAATCCTACCTATTTTTACTTCTGAATCTTTCCTAATCATCTTGCCTTGTACGCTTTTTATCTTCAATGTCTACTCTTCGGTGTCTACTTCGGCCAGCCTCGCTCTGTTTGCTCTGTTCCTCATCAGCATTACTTCCTTGTATTCCTTTCACCACCTTTGCGAAGCTTCTGTTTTGAACCACTGTCACCGTTCCTTTACTGCTTTTTTTCTCCCCTACTTCCTTCTTCTCCTCATCATACCTTGGTCTATTCACCCATAACTTCCACCCTCCTACCCAGATCTGATCCAGATTTCTTTCCAATTCCTTCTTATCTTTCACACCCAGAAATCTCACGAAGCCGAATATGCTCCCATTCTTGCTCTTTCTGTTTGGTGCATAGATGTCATAGACCCTGCCATATCTTAGGAACATTCTCCACATCTCATCATAGCTCCAATCATCAGGATAATTGGTGAAGAAGTATGGTGTAGCTTGTTTATAGAGGCCCCAATTGTATGGCCCGTCTTTCTGTGTTTTCCGACCTTGGTGCTGATTAAACTGCACTTACCACACATCCACCTGAACCCTGTTCCTCTAATAGTTGCTGTGGCGAGATCCATCATGCTCCCAGTTCAGTGCCGACTGTCTTGCCCGTGATTGATGTCCGCCGTGATCCCTTATCACTCTCTCACTAACTCTCTCTCTCATATTCGTTACATTAATTGAATTAGTTGAGGCTCTTTTCCTTGAATTATTTCTTCGTTTGACGAAGAGGCTTGGTTTTCCCTTCCCTTATCCTTCCTTTACTCCCTGAACAAACGCTAGAATTACAAAAAATTAATGCCTCTCATCCATCCTGTTCAGTCGAATTTTCCTTTTCCGTATGTTAATTAAGGTGTCTCTAAAAAATGCTATGCTTATGGGGTCATGCTTGGTTTTTTTTTTTTTTTAATAGCAGTTAGTGAATATTATAGCTCGTTAATCTTGTTAAAGTCTACTTCTCAATCGGGGTACAATCCTTCAATTAAATCCCCCATAGACGGTGAGTGTTGAATGAGCCCAGAGTCTTTCTCTTAATTTTTTTTTTTTTTTTGACAAGGGTAATGATTAGGAAATTAGTTTAAATTAGTTGTTAGTAACTGGGGATTCGATCCCCAGGCCAAGTGAACATTCTATCCCCTCAAATGAGGCGCGCGGCTATTGGGCCACTTTTTGGTGCAATTCACGACGGTGATAGAACTCGAAACTCAAAACTCGAAACTCTGACTACCTCACTCAAGCACTTAAGGCTTGAGGCCGAACCATTGAGCCTAAAGGCTCGGTTCAGAGTCTTTCTCTTAATTAATAAGACTATTCCAGGAGGGACCACTTCCCAGTCTGCCAAAGGGACGACCTTGACTCTGTTTACCTCTGCTTTCAATCATTTCATCGATACAGATAAAAAACCCCGTTGATATTTCAAAGTTGATAAGTAAGACCTGTCATTCAAAAAGCTGGGCATATATTAGCAATTCGCAAATGGGACAATATTTTTATTTCTCTTTACCATTTCTTTCTAGCTTAAAATACGCTTTTTTTA